ATATCACCGGGAAGGTTTTTGAAAAATAATTTCATGAATATCTTGAATATCCTTAGAGTTATTTTCAGATTTGTAGATTTAACTCGCAAGCAGCGCCCCCATTGTGACGATGATAACAAGTTTTCTTATCACTAAGTTTGTTATCTTAAATATTATTTATCAAAAGTAAGATTATCTCAGGATGACACGGCAATTTATTTGAGACAAGAATAATGATACAATTCCAAGGCGAAGATACTATTCCTTTAACCTCCAATTACCGTAGGAACCAATTAATATTGATTTTATTCAACTTATCGAGTATTTTTCAAGGGACCGGAAAAAAATGTTCACTAGATAAAACGATGATTTTGTAATGTAGAAAATTAGGAAAGACAAAATTCAGGATGACACGGCACACTGGGACCGGGAAAAAATGTTCACTTTATTGAGAGATTCAAATTTACGATTTCAAATTATCAAAATATTGACACGTTTCTGAATTTTGTAATTAATTTTTCATTGATTTCTAATCTGTAATCAATAACTTTTATCATCATAAAAAAAAGAACAATTAATAAACAAAAAACAACAACATTGTAAATTTGCCTCTTTATTTAAAACAAACAAACAAATTAGATAAAGCTTTAAAATAAAACATTTCTTTAAAAGTTAAAGCAAAAATAAAACGTTACAATATATATATATTTTTTATAAGTTTATAGAGCATTGTTTCAAGAAATGTTCGTTAGACAAACCTTTACTCGGGTAAAACCTCGGGCGAAGCCGGGTACATCCGCTAGTATATATATAAAGGTCACCTCTCTCGCAAAAATGAACGCTCGAAATAAGCGCTATCTATTGACTGTTTCTGCAAACTATTAAATTTCCTTCCGGATAAATTTACATCTGTATATATATATAAGGGATCATATATGTAAAGTATAAAACATTTCTTCACATTAATATTTTGTCCATATTGTTAATGTATTTATAAAGCTCTGGATTTGAGTTAGTTTAAACAAATTGGTGCCTTAAAACAGAATGGTGTGTTAATAAATGAATAGTGGTTTTAAATACAGCTCTCGATCCAAGAAAAAAAACATTTAATTAATATTATACTATCTATGCGTAATCATATAACCAGAAGAAAATATTGAAGTAGTTTAGAGATATATTTGTCTAATTAAACTGACGAAGCCTCTCGGAGAGTCTCCACTCTACTGAGTAATTCACCCTCACTTCCCAATAATGTTGAGCAATTCTTAGAGTTATATGAATTTGTATTTTTAAATTCGAAATGCACCAGTAGACAAAATATATGGATTTTTAAAGTCTTACTATGTCGCCATTCGTCAGTTTTTTTCTTAAGTAGACAGAGTCATTTGGTTATCTGTACATCTTCGATAAAAGTCACTGTAATATCTTTCAGTGTTATTATCTGAATCCCGAAATACATACTAAAAGGTATTACTTCTTTAAGTTTTGTACATGAGTGTGAATGACGTTATGGGAACGATCGTGCAGGTAGATGGCGATTTTAGTTACAAAGAACATCAGAAATTGTTATATTCCACGAGAAGTTGAAAATAACAACGCATGCGAACACACGGATTCCCCTCTTCCTCTATTATCAAATTTGCATAATTTTAAATCCCTCCATATGGCACGCCTGAATTATTGTAACATTTCTTTTTTTTACCCTGTTGCATATGGTAAAAAATCGAAGTTTCTCTTTATATATATATGTTATTCCTAGAAGAAATTTTTTACTGGGGATTTTACTCCAACCTGAAAATAATCGGTAATACTTGGAAAAATATCCATGAATTTCATACAAGGAATATTTATATAGTTATAAGTTAACAATATATTTTACATCTATGATATACCTATTATAAAGAGTGCATTAAAAGTATTGAAACAATCTCTCTACAATGAAATGTGATTTTTTAAAGTAATACAATTAAAATTAATTAGCTTTTTTTCCCTTTTCATATCCACATATCATCCTATATATTATTTTAACATCAAAATAAACTGCTGAGTGTTTACTGAAGCTCTTCCATTCGAAAACCAAGAAAATATTTTATAAAAAAAAAACATATAACGAGTAAATATAATTGTTAAAATTTTATAGATAGATGTCAATTGAATATATAAATGTATATAGTTTATCAAAATATATAAATATAATTATATCCTTCTAACCTAAATATATATACTATGATATATTAGGTTTAATTGAATAATTATAATATTATATTCTCACACACAATACACCTAAATTATCTTTCATTGACCTGCAGTCGTTAGGTCTGGGAGAATGAGTTGTAGAAATATATTTTTAAATCAATTGCTTTTATATTTTAACCGTTTGAATGAAATAGTGTAGAACTGATTTCACCCAAAACTCTCAAATTGTTTATTATATTAATAAATAATTCTTGAGGTAAGACATAGGGAAACTTTGACTGTATACATGATATTTACAACAAAAATATACATCTGAATGAATGAAAAGACTATTATACAATATATAATAGATGAATCAATAATATTGTAAAATAACATATATGGTGAAAAATATAAGGAGAACAGTTTAGCTGGCTAACTGAACCAAGAATACCTTTCAGAAAAATAATTAGAAATTAATAAAAGAAGATCCTCGGCAGGTGACAGCGCTCGAGGTAGATGCTAGCCGATGCTAGTTTGTTCCTTCAGTCATATGACCACTAGCTAAATATCTACGATACAAGGTCTACCACATGAAATCATAGAAATAAGGTTTATAATTGACGTGAATGTATTCAGTTTGCATATGTCCAGGCTGCATGGCTTGGGACTAGATAAGAGGAACACAAGGTTTCTGCTGTCTGGGCCCAAGGTTCTGTGTTATTGGTGACTGATATTGACTCCGATCATACAGAAATGTATGGTGATAGAATTTATATCCCTCTACGTAGATTTATTACATAAAATATACGTATCAGTATTATATTCATATCATTAAATGGATTAAAGTTAAAATGCTTGATTCATTAGTTTCTATTCACTTTCGCATAGTAGGATGAATGCCGTTAATACAGCTAATAGGATATTTTTAAATCGACATCTCATTGTGAAAAAAAAAAAAAAAAATACAGGTAAAAATAAGGTAGAAAGAGAGAATATAAAATTACCGTATAAAACCTCACAACAAGATTTTGTTTTCTTTTGTTTCAATTCGATTAGAAATAAAACAGCACACATGAGAAAACCAGCGTTTACAAAATGAGATTTTAAAACCTTTGGTGTTCGCCTTTTTTTAAAACTGTTTTCCATGTTTCAAACAATTAAAGAACTAGTGAGTTTGTGTTATCACTGAGGAAGAAATATTCTACATCACCGATGGTAATGCTATTTGGAAACTAACTTTTTTCATAGTTGAGAATAGAGCACATTAATTTGAAAATAACTTCCTATTTGAAATATTATTAACCTCTAAACCACCAAAGAGTGTTTGCATATATTTTTACCAAAAAGGAAGAACTACATGTGGAGCTTAGAATTCTGTGAATATTGTGGTTTTTTTATTTATGTTTCCTTCAAACTTCTATAATTATGGTTTGATAGAGGTAAATATGTATGGCGTCCAGCCTATTATTCCGTTTATTGGCTCTCTGATGTCGCATGACCGAAAAAAAAAACAATCACCGTTTGAGAAATAAAGTGAGCATATTTTCTAGCCCAGTAGTTACATCGATCTCTTAGATAAACGGACATGAGTTTTTGATGTATATATATTATTTAATTGTTACAACAGAGTGTGTGTAAGCTCAAAGGTAAATAGACGCTAACCAAAAAATAGTTCATTTGTTTATAAATATGGATTTTATCTATCTAAGACTCATTATATTGATACAATTCTTCACATATTTGAACTTGAAGAATGCAACAGTGTGCAGATACCTGGATATCAAAATCAAAATTTGGATGAGTATTTGGACTCTAAGCCAGTAGATAAAACTGTTTACCAGGAAATTATTGGATCACTTATATACCTTTCCACGGGTACTCGACCGGACATATCCTTCAACGTCAGCAATTTATCTCAGTATAGTAATTATTCAATAGAAATGCACTTAACTGGAGTTAAAAGGATCTATAGGTATCTGAAGCGAACAAGAAATAAAATGTTGGCATTTTTAAGTCAAATGACAACAATATCCAAATAAGTACTGATGCGAGCTGGTGCATAACCCGAGACGCAAATTCCTATTCAGGGTATACAGTCAAACTTGGCAACAACTTAATAAACTGGAAAAATAGAAGCAAAATTTAGTAGCCTTGTCTACATGTGAAGCAAAACTTATTTCAATATGTGAAGGAATTTCTGAAGTGTTATGGTTAAAGAGATTACTAGAAGAACCTTTGGAAAATGTAACTTTCCCAATTACCATGAAAAGTGACAGCCAGGCTGCAATAAACTGGATACAATCTGACAAAATTACTTCACGAACAAATCATATAAATCGAAAGTATTATTTAGTGAAAGAATAAATACAAAATGGAATCAAGCTGGCATACACTTAAAATGAAGACATGGAAGCAGATATACTAACGAAGAGTCCCCCTAAGGACAAACTACGGAAATGTGCAGATAGTTTTGGAATTGCTGACTAGGGCTAACACACAGGGGAGCGTGTGTTGTATATAAATTAATTAATTGTTACCACAGAGAGTGTGTAATTCATAGGTAAATAGGCGTTAACCGAAGCATAAAAAAGTTCCTTTGTTTAATATTAGTTTCCCTTTTATATTATGTTATTTCTCTTGTAAATCAATAAATATAATGTTTACAATATAATATAATGCGGCCTGTGATTGTAAAACGACATTTGAGAAATTATCCCGCATGAGTTTCTTTTCAATGAAAAATCAAAATTTATTTCAAGAAGAAACAACGATTATTTCTAACCTTTTGGATGAGGTATGAAAGGGTGAATTGTGAAGGGTAATGATAAACGGAAAATAAAAATATCAAGGGATGGGAATCGAACCCACAATGTTCCGCTTAACGTGCAGATGCCATATCCACTAGTCTACCCTGGACATATTTTTCCGTTCGTAAATAATACATAAAGTAATTTATAATATAATATTATCAAATATCTGTGGCGAAGAGAAGAACCAAGCCCATCCCAAAAGACTTAATGCCCTGAAAGGAGAAGAGCTAATCAAGTCCGTCCAGTAATTTAATAAGTGAACACCAATTAGATGACACGGAAGTGCACACCCAGGCTCTCTATTTGTTTGTCTTATTACAGGGAAACAACCAATCAGATTGCTACACATGTACCACTATATACGTCTTTGGGGTTTTCAAGCTTCTCATTCTGTAGGATATCGACCTCGATAGTTTTTTTTTAAATCTGTTATTGTATATCTCGTGATGGTCCAGAAATTGAACTTACAATTTAAAATATGTGTTTCAAAATATAGTGGCTAATTATTTTTTATTTTATTAACAGGGTATCATTATTGATGTTCATATTTTCCAACTCTGTAAACTTCCCTCATTGCTTATCTTTTTTTTAACCATTCATAGCTTTTTTTGCCTTAAATAAATTGCTGTGTCATTCTGAAGGTTGTCTTTCCTAATATTCCACGTGGCATTTTGATGGAGATGCTGGGTAAATTAGGGAGGACAAACTAAAGATCGTCGAAAAGACCTTGCGGCAATGAGTGCAGTGATCTACATTTTCGGGAGATTGGCTCCAGGATTCCATCGCCGTATCAAAGCTAAGACTTCCCTAAAAGATGACGATTTCCCTAACAATACGACGACAAAGCCTCTCTTCACGCTAGAAGAAAAAGAACGCAAAGGTACTAAGGACAAAGCTTCAAGACTCCGATGGAATCATTGGCAGAAGCACGTCAGATCCATGTCTGTAACTACAATATTTGCAAGCTGTGAGTCACATCTTCCATAGAGAAGGAGCTATGTAACAAAGTATTTATTATTTTATTAACAAAGTATCATTTTTAATGTTAATATTTTGATGCTCTGTAAAACTTACCTCATTACTCTTTTTTTATCATTCATTGGTTGTTATTGCCTTAAATAAATTGCTGTGTCATCTTGAAATTTGTCTTTCCCAATTTTTCACGTTTCAATTATCAGGAACAGAAGAAGAAGAAAGGGATCAGGATGATATAGCACAATATAAATTTTGAGATCATCTTGAACATTAATTGGCATGTTATCAGCAGCATTCCATAGGGATACGTCATAGGAAGGTACCATTCAATTATATTGAAGATAGATATTTGCTATTCACCTCAAATTTTCTATTAATGTATTATGAGAGAGATCGAGAAAGAGATTCAGATTGAAACTATTTCAATTATATCGTTCAAATATGATTATATACGGCTATATACAAAATAAAATAGAAAGATGTTATTTAAGATAATCTCCATATTCAAATCTCTAACGGATCGTGGTAAACTACTGAAAGTCAATTTTATCACAATTATATATAATAATTGATATAGAATAAAGACATTTCAGAAAGTTTAACTTTTCCTTTATGATTCCATAAAATATTCTGGCGCAAATGGGAAAATATATATCTTTAGTTATATATAAAGTGTCTTATAAATGCGTATCTTATTACATATTCTCTATTGGTCACATTCTTTGAGAATAATTTTTTAAATCATATAAATTTTAATGGAAAATGAGTGAGTATATTTTGGTTGCCAGAAAAGAGATTCCGGAGTAGCATCTTTAATATTGGAGTTTGGAAGTCGTCTAACTTCATCTAGACCATAGATTTCCAAACTATCTCTCCAACATTTCAAAACAGCATTTATTAATGTTCAACTCTGTGTGTGCTTCCTTCAAGTACACAGTGGCTTACGTCACGTGACATTGATCTGGCTACCGGAGCTTCAAATCGGCGCCACTAGAGGCGCTGCATCTCCTTTTTGTTTTCTTGCCTGGTTTTGTCATATATAAACATACTAGACGAATGGCCCGGGCAACGCCCGGGTTTTACCCGAGTGCGTATATATTTTAAAAACGTTTTAATTCAAATACTATTCGTTACAATTATAAATTGGCGCCATGGATGTCACTCTTGTGAAACGTCCCGTTCCAAACTGTGTGTTTTTAAAATGTTTTAATTAAAATACTATTCGTTACAATTATAAATTGGCGCCGTGGATGTCTCTCTTGTGAAACGTCCCGCCCCAAACTGTGTGTGTCTTGAAAATATAAAAATAAAAATGTGAATTTTCATAAAGATTTCATCATGTCGATTTTTTTTTTGCATTTCACCTACTAAATCGATAGAGATAATTACATTTGCAACATGAACTTAGGTATATTGACTAAATAGAAAACTGCATAGTAATAAAGATCATTTTTTAAAGGCACCATATCGTTTTTTTTCAATAAAATCGAAACAAAAAAAATTCACAAAAAAATGACCCTATAACTTTTCGCAAGGTTCTAAATGGTCACACGGCCAGTGAATATATAAGTAAATAGATACATACATACGTTGACCGTGCGGCCACGCGTCGCACGAGCTCCGCGTATTTCGTCTTTCATTCTGCTGACTGCCCTTTTTACTCATCCTAAATCATACCATCTGATTCACCGTGAGACGGACTTCATTTTTAACCATCTTTTAAGAATTTTCATCAAATTTGAATTATTTCTTAAATTTAATTTTCATAGGCTTGTAAATCTACAAGTTGTAGATTTACGGCATCACCATGGCAACAGCCAAGCCGGCTGTTGCGTCATCGTCATCATCTATCGCCTCATTGGTCGCTCATAATCCATCTGTGACATCATCTCTTTCGCATATCGCAAAGCAAAAATTTGCATCTCCACCGACAACTGAAAACCAACTGGAAAATTTGCAAAGGCAAAAACCACAATTTTCATCTGAGGAAAAAAAGAAACTTGACGAAAATAGAAAATCTACCTACGAAAAGAGAAGTAAGGAAATATAAGCGACGATCCAATTTGAAGTCCTTGCAGAAGCATCTGCCGAAGAACATCTGATCGGCATCGGTCAAATTATTGGATTTGAAAATATTCACTCTGTGGGAAAAATTAATGGACAGGCTATTGTCTCTGTAGCAGACCAGAAGCAGGCAGAAGTTCTCCTGAACAAGGGATTTAAGGTCAGGGACAGAACTGTTTACCCATCCCCACTTTTCCGACCATCCCGTAAATACATCTTGTCGGGCGTCCTGGCCTTTATCCAGGACCAGGACATAACGAAGACTCTGACACCTTATGGCGAAGTTCTGAGCATCCGCCCGCTCCCATTCCCAACCAACAATCCCCTACTGAAACACCTCTCTTCGCTTAGAAGAGAAATTGTTTTTAAAAATAAAGAAAAAACGCCGATGCCGGCCGTGATTTCTATCACCCATATGGAGCAATCCTTTAAGGTCTTCATCGGTGAGGATGTGGTGTGCACCGCATGTAGAAGGCATGGGCACACGAACACCAAATGCCCTTTTGACCCCCAGATCAGGGAAACAGTGAAAAGATCCTTCGCTGACGCCCTAAATCCAGTTTCACAGCCAAGAACTCCAAAGCAACTACCAACGGAGACACCAAGCGAGACACCATCGATGAAGCGGCCGCTCACGGATTCCTCAGAAGAAGAGAACCTCCAAAAGGAAAGAAATGACCTCGGAAAAAAGCCAAAATCATCCTCCACGGGCCAGGAACTTAACACTGACACGTGTACAATAAACGAATGCAAACAAATCTCTGATTTCCAATCTGCACCTCTTAAGAAATGCAGCGATGATGACCGTGGGAATTGGCTCCGCGACCTATTGAAAGAGCTAAATTATGAGACTACCTTTGCCCCAAAACTGCGGGAGACTAAAGCGGAGCTCATCATTCGTGTAATTATGTACCCCGAATCTTGTAGGGAATTATTTCCGGTAATACGGCCGGAGCTCAAGCCCATTCTTTTGGACCTCACTGAAAACATCATCGAGCGTGCACAAGGTGGCGACCAAATAACCCTCAAGAAATTAACCGATTTTAGAAAAGCTCTAAGTCGCTGAGACCTCGACTGTAAATATATATTTTTCCTATTTCCCTTTTAACTCTTGTATCTGATTGATTAGACGTCATTAAAATGTTTTAATTGTTTACATACATAAGTAAATAGATAAATATATAGATATATATTCTAAACTGCGGTAAAAGTTTTTTGAATGAACCCATATCATAAATATGCAATGAAAATAACAATTAAAAATTACTAAAGCAATTTTTAATTGATATTTTCATTGCATATGTAGCCTAGTGGTCATGGCATCTGCCCGGTAAGCGGAAGGTCGTGGGTTCGATTCCCATCCCTTGACACTTTTTTTATTTTATCCATTCTGACCAAAATCTATCCGTGAACTTCACACAGTGAACTTCACACAGACAGAATAAGGCAATTATATAAGTAGATATTTTCAATATATTCAGCATATGTTCAACCTGTTTCAAAATTGAAACTATACTCCTGGATGACAATTTATTTTCTCTTAGATAGGACAACTTCTAGAAGACCTTAACGTGATTTCTTGAATGCCTTTGAAAACTGAAGCCTTTCTAAAAGACTTCAGATCCAACTAGGGTCGGTATCTTTCTATTGGAAACCTTATATTCAGATAAAAAATCGATATAGTATGATATATTTAGTTTATTGCAATGTGAAATATATTTTACTTACAATTAGTAAACTGCAAATGAAAATAATTAGGAAAAGTATAGCTCATCAGTAGCGAACCTTTGCAGCCAATTGAATATACCAGATCGCTTCAAATTTTATATTGTTCGTTATTTCATTTCTTCAAGCACATAGATTCTCACTTAAAAGGACAACAAAGTTCTGTGTAGGCAACTTTAGGAAACAGAACACAGAGCGCTATCTGGATATAAAAACGGAATGTACTACCTGTGGAATTTGAAATTTAATCTTGGTCTTACTAGCGTTAAAAAAATATTCAAATTTAAAAAAAAATCACTTTTGGCCTGTGTATTATAAGACTTTCAGCATGGACTTCTTGCT